ATTGTATGTAAACATTTTTCAATTCGCTTAAAAGTACTCGAGATATAGCGAAATAAGCAAGAAGTAAAATTAACATCAAACTTTGGATCGCTCTCCTGACCAAATTATGGGGACCATATTTCCCAGATTGCGGCTACCCTCTATATAAAGGTGGTCAAAAATTTTAATCCGTTTAAAAAAAGGTATGTTTATAAAAAGAAAGTGCGTTTTTGTGGCTGATTTCGTAACTTAAAATATCATCTGCACTAATTAATTAATATATTTGAGGTCACCACCCTCGAAACTTTAAGATTGTATCGTAGAGCGTGAAGATCAGATCATTAGGTAAAAAATTATTCAGGGTGGTTCGTTTTTTTCTCACACTGTACAATAAATGTTATTTATTAATTTTTAGGTTAATCTTTAGCTTACTTGTTTGATGAGTGCTGGCATCTAGTTTAAAATAAACGAACTATCTCTAAACACATTACAAATACCCTGGTACTTCCATCTGGAGTATAGATTGAGAAATAATCATGATTCCCAGACAAGAGAAATAGATTGTTTTAATCTTTTTGGTGCGTTGCCTTTGAACACTCCAGTCTAAAAAGATCACGGGCACGAAAAATAGGGGGCGAAATTACACCGAGTCATTTTGGCGGGAGGAAGAAGGATGAGGTTAAAACATTACCTTTAATATCTCCATTAATCTGCAATATATCACATGTAAAACATTTAAAGTCATTCAGATTATTTAAAGAAATAACTTTCATGAATTTTATAACTTATTATGAAGCAAAAAGAAAGAAATTAAATAAAAACTTCATGGTTCGATATTGTTTCGAAAACGTTTCTCCATAGGCACTTATCACTTACAAAATTGGATGAACATTTACACATTTTTGAAATATTATTTAAAGAATATTCTGATATGAAAATGTCAATGGTGCTATCATTAGTTTTTAAGCTGTTTGTGATAGTTTTAGTTTTTTTTGGAATTTTTTTCCTCCCTTATTTCAGTTAAGCGAAAACTTTAAGTATAAAATTCGTTTTAATAAATCTTTTCCCCTCGTTTTTCAAAAGAATCTGCCAACCAAGAAATTTTAGTTTAGTTATCATTTCAATTAAAGAATTTGAAATTAATATTCATTTGAATAATTACGGAGAAATTTTGAAAATTTTTTCTCTCCGGTTGATCGATTGTAGAAAAGCGCGACGAGCTCTTTGCGCTAACTTGCAGCTTTATATTTACATTGGTGAAGCATATGGTTAAGGCTAGATAGATAGCAGAAAGTTGCAGTGAAAAGTCAAAAACGGTTTGTTGCTTGAAAAAATCTTCACCCGCATCCTTGTGGTTAAAACCAATTTCTGCCCTTCAGCTCAGATGTTTGTTTTACACCAATAAATTCTCTTGCTAATAAATGCTAATTTCTCTGAATTAAAATTAGTAGCAGCAACATAGTGAAATCAGTTCAAATACATTCTTACATTTTTAGCATATTGTTGGTGAGTTTTTTTAACATTTTATTTTGGACAGAGTTGAAAATACATGTTTAAGAAAATAGACATAGCTTGAAATACATGTTTTACAAAAATGAACATGATATTCCATTTTTTAAAACATGTATTACAAGCCAGCTGTGAGACATGATGGTTAGTGATTAAGGCACTGAACTGTCATTGTGAAGAACTGAGATACTAGTGGCGGCTTCAAGTCTAGCTTCAGATCAATGGATACCAGTCTGTCTGGGGTGCAAAAGTGGTTTGAGTACAATGCTGACCACACTGCCACAATCACATCGTGGATCACAAAATTGTGGCTCCCTGGCCCACAACCGTTGTTGTAAGAATGCTTTACTTTTTAGATTGCAAGCTGAGTCCGTTTCCTTGAACAAACATTTTGAAATGTGTATATTTTTTAAAACACGCATTTAAGGCCACATCCATTTATATAAAAATGCATTTTGAGCANTAGTTATTTGTGTTTCAAAGTCAGTAGCTATGCCAGCGCAATCAATACAGTTTCTCGTGGTAAAATTTGCAAGTACAAGAGATTCGTACTTTTTTTAAATATCTTGTTAACAATGAAGAAATGTATCTTGAAAGAATTAACAGATGAAAGTATATCTAATAACAAAACAAAATATAATAACAGAATATTTTTAATATTTTTTTTTTTGTGTGTGTGTGTGTGGGGGGGGTAGTTTGTTAGAGCGTTGCACCCCCTTTTAAATTTTTCTGCCGGCGCCCTTGCCTCTGAGTGTAGGAAAGGTGAAATAAGTCATTCATTCATTTTAATCACTCATTCAGCTTCTAAAATAATTTCCATTTTAAAGATATGAAACAATATTTTTATTGATATATATGGATAATTTTATAGATGTGTCAGAGGGATATTGACTAATTGGTCCCCACATTAAAAACAAATATAAATATTATTAGAGTTATCTTCAATTATGGAGTTTAATTAAATTGCCATAAATTTTTAAAAAGCCTAAGATCAGGACTGTTATATGTAACAGGGTGCGTAGCTAGATTTTTCATAAAAAAAAGCACCTTTTAAGTACTTTTTAAGCACTCAAAATATTTTTAATCACCTTTCAAAAAAAAAAATCATAACTAGGATCTGTGCAGTAACAAAATTTTTTTCCTAACCTTTTAAAGTTCCTAATTTATAAACATAAAATCAATAAAATTCAAAAACATTTTCAAAAACCTTACATAATTATGATAAAATAAATAGTTTCTGATAAATATTGCAGGGAAAATTATAAAAATCATGAATGTTTTGTAATTTAGAACGACAATCGATACGGCAAAGAAAAAATCTCTTCTTAAAGGATAAAAAATTAAGCACTTTTTACAAACACCAAATAAAAAAAGCACCTTCAAGGGCTTTTAAAAATGTAAATCAAAAATGAACATCTTTAAGCACTTTTTAAAAACGTTACACACCCATGTAATTGTTCTAAACCATCAACATGTTTACTTCAAGACAGCTAATTTTCTGATTCATGTAAAAACCTATTTTTGTGGAGACTAGGATTCCCTTGTTATTTATTATGTCAGCAACATATTACTGAAAATGATGTTTAAAACCAAATTTATACTTACTAGTCTTTAAAATTAAGATGATTTTCAAATCTGCTCGATTGTCTCAAGTAATACTGGACAGATTTTGATCAAATTTAGTTAGAACATAGGTTCATACAATATAATATACTAATCATTCAATATTTACACATGCACGAACCTACAAAACTTTCATCAGAGTTGTAGGTCTGAAGCAGTAATTAGAGAATCAAATAAAATATGGGTTAATAGGAAGTAGAAACTTCTTTTAAAAGATATACAAGCCTTGCATACCAATTTCAAACTGGAGATAAGGCAAGAGTTCATGTTGATATTAGTCTTACTAGTTCAGAAACATTGGTAGAGCAAGTTCCAATTGTCATCGCTAGAGGGTGCCTGAAGCGTTTCACAGGATTGAGGTCGCGTGATCTGTCTGGCTAATTCATCTGGCAAACATTCTTTCCCTAAAATCTTCAGCGGGATAAACTCTATAAGGTCATGCATTTTTGTCCAATAAATGGCAAATGCACCTCTGAAAAGGCAAATATAAGACCTCAAAACTTCATCCCCATACCTCACATTAGTTAAAAGCTTTATCAAATATAGGGAAGCGACTGTAGCCATTGAACATGATGCTTGACCAGACCACCATAATGGTCAATTTCTCAGACTTGAAGGGCAGATTCATGATTAAAATGGTTCATACTATCACATGATGAGAATCAGGATTACACAACTAGTTGAATTTTTCATGAAAATAGTAAACAATAACAAAGGGGTCTTGAAGATCAAAAATTTTGAATTAGATATCCTTTAATCTATACATATCCCAAAACTCTCATGGCCCATAAAAAAGTTTTAAACTTCAAGATTGATTGAGGAAATGTTTATCACGTATCCCCAATATTGCTAATAAATTAAATGAAGATATTTTAGAACTTGGAAATAATTCCCTTGATATATTTTAGTTAATTTCTTTACAATGGGAAAATGTCATATTTTTATTTCTTAAAAGTTTTATTTTATGTGTGAACTGTTAATCCCACATAAGAGATATATTTTTGAGTTATAAGAACTTGACAATTCTTTGGTTTCGCTTAGTCATTGCAGTAGCTTTTAAAATTATAGACATTTTATGCAGCTGGTGCATCTTAGTTATTCTTTTTAAGCCTTACCATCAATAATTCAATTGTGGCTCAAGTATTGAAGCAATGTCTTTCCCAAAGAGAAATGTGTATAATTGCATATTTAAATGAAATAAAAAAAAATAGCTCTGTTAATTATTAATTTGTGAACCTAAGTGTTTTCAAAATTTGTTCAAAAACTCTTTTTTTTAAAATATATCAAGTTTTTCAAGTTATGCATTAAAGTTTGGACTGAGCTTAATACAACACTACAATATAATGAATATAACACACATTATAACACTAGTTTTCCTTAGGGGGCAGGAGTAGTTATATCAAGCATTAATTTCATCATCAAAGAGATTGGTCAGGTGTAACATACAGCTGACTGAGAGAAAAATGCTTGTAAAATGATGGGATAAAATATATATTTTTAAATTATCATGGAACTAGAGCAATAGTATAGCCTTGCTTAGTCCCTTCAGGGAAGTAATAGTTTTGTTTATGGATAGTCTAGCAATAATTTAAGTTTCTGACAAATTTAAGCGTTTTTATAAACTTAAATTTGTCATTTGAGATATAAGCTACAGCTGAAAAAATAGAGATTTCAAAAATATTAAAAAAAAGCATGAGCAATACAATTAGGAAAAAGAGCTTTCAAGAGTAAAGAGTAAAAAAGCATCAATAAAAATTTCATACATAATTTCTGTAAGGGAAAGAACTATGTAGTGAGTGTAATATTTTGAAACAATTTTTACATTTTAGCAAAATGGCTTAGAAGATATCAAAAACTCATTGTAATTATAATCAAAATACAGCACAATAAACAATACACAAACAAATTTTATTAAATATCATAAACTAATGTACATAAAAAACAATATGTTTGTTTTATTGAAAATAGTCATTTAGTTTTGTCATCCAGTTAGTTACAGTCATCCAGTTTTGAAGAATTGTTTTGACTTAGGTTTTATTAAGTTCCTTCAGCTTCCTTCGTCTCTGAGATCTTTTGGAACTTCTTTGCATTATTGGAGGTGGGCCACTAGTTGAAGATTGACTGCTGCAGATTAAGAATAAACACTGTCACTATTTTTTTCCCTAATATATATTAGTAAATGATGTGATTAAAAAAATATTGAAAATGGATATTTTTTTTAGCTAAATTTGCAATATAACTAAGTAATGAAAAATATCATAATGCCTAGAGTCATGTTTATGAAAATTTTGGGGTGAAATCTGTTAAGCAAAACACATAGAAGTATAAAATTTCATGAAAAGAAAGTAGATAAATATTTATGTGCAAGGATAGTAAGTGATACTTCTAAGTTGCTTTTATAAATTTATTTAATAATTTGTATTATCTTTTCCCACTAATGCTAACTTGTTTGGAAAAATTTTGAAAATAATAATTGATTTTGTTGGGTAATACATACTCATTCTATTCGTTTTAAACTACTATACACAATCAATATAATATTGTAATGTGTAGTTTGGTCTTTATTAAATGAATGTTACTTTAATTATGAAATCTCAACAAAATGTTAAGGTTGAATAAATACAGAATGAAACCCTAACAAAACAACTACACATGGTTAAATGCAAGTAAACTTTGTCATAAAAAATTTCTAACTAAAATCAAAACCCTAATTTTTGATATATTTGTGCCTGAAATTCACCCTTCCTATAAAATCAGCATTAGCATAAAAAATTGGTCATGTGACACACATTCTCCTTAAAAGAGAAAATATTTATACAATCAACTTTATTATGTAATCAACTTACGCATAACCATCCGACTTAGAAGAGCTGTCAGTAACCGCAATAACATCATATTGACCAGACTGAGTAATGAGTGCTGTTAGCTGAAAGAAAAAAAAACATAAGTATGTTTATAATGATACATATGATATGCATAATGAATACATCAAAAGAAATCAAATAATAATACTGTGTCAAATATTAATAATATTCAGAGCTGGTATAAGATAGGAAGAAAAACGGGAAACTAAATAAATAGTATGTATGTTCCCTAGCGCATACAACAATTCTATGTACATACCTCTATGATATTTAGCAAAAGGAAGTAAAATAATAAATTTTTCTCATTCCACCTATTGTAACATTATTGAAAATGCAAATTCACCTTTGAGGATATTTTTTTAACAGCCATAATTTAATTTTACTTCATACTTTAATTTTAAAACCATCATATTTGAAAAGTTAATGAGAGTTAATTGTTGCAGTTTCTGTTTCACCCAGATTTTTCTAAAAAAAATTCTTTTTTTGAATATAACTGAATAAAAAATCTGAAGATAAATAAAATAAGAGGATTAATCGGGAAATTTATAAAAAATTTCTCTATGAAAAGATAAATGTCCAGAAGTTATAAAAATGTCTCACTGCACTATGCTCCATTTTTACAATTGTGTCTTCTATTATGCATTACAAAATAGTGAGAAGCATAGAGGTGAAAAAGGAGTTATTCCACTATTATAACCAAAGAATGAAATTGCAATTTTTTTAGAAATGTCAAAGGAAATATCTCCAAAAAAAGAAACTTGAGAAGTGAATTTTTTAAGCATTTGCTTTCCAAGCCTAGATGGTATTTCTTTTGTAATCACTTTTTTTAATGAAATCTTTATTAATAATGTTCTTATTTTATTTCTGTATGATAAAGAATGTACTTAAATTAAAAAGAAATATTTTTGCAACAATTTGTTCTAACATTTCATCAGTTCTTATATTTTTCGTGAAATGTATATATATATATGTTCCTCAATGATTAAAATTTGAGAGATTATTTACATTATCTCTCAAATTTTAATTGAATTAACACGTTTCTTGAGATATTAATTCTTTAATATAAGTAAGTGTAAAACTGTTTACAACTAAGTGAAATTGTATGTTTTTGAAAAATTCTCATAACTCATCATTCACATATATATCTGAATGAATATAGTTCCAATAATAATTTTCATATTTGATTTCTTTGTAACAGTTTAACAAGTGTTTGGTGTCTGAATTTTATATGGGTATGCTTCATGCAAAATCTCCTTAACTACAGCAACAGTTTCAATGATTGTGATCATACATAATGTACAATAAAATGATATAATGTACAACAAAACGATATAGTCAACAAAAACCAGTGTCACACTTATGTTTGTAGCAGGGTTGGCATTCTGTCAGGAAGAACCTATTTCTTCAAGGAGATTGGAAGATAGGGGAAAAATCAGAAGACACTTTAAGAAATGGAAGAAATAAAAAATATTCATACATAATTGTTTAACAATGACTATTTAATAAATAGTTCGAATTGAAGACAAATAAATTCACTATCTAGAGGAAATCAAAAATGACTTTCAATCTTTTATTGTCACCAGAGAGTCAAATTTTTATGAAAGTAGTAGCCATAAACTAATAACACGTTGGCAAAAATGTGGTGATTTGTGACAGTTTATACTTTGATTAATAAAATAGTTTTTAAAAAAAGTTATTTAAATTTACAATAAAAATCTGACATTTCATATGCAACAACATAACATTTCAGACAGAAATTTGAATAATGCATTTGAGTATTTACTTTTAACGCAATGATTCTATCGATTTATTTAGCAATTATAGCAATAATTTTCCACATAGTTTTTAAAATCTGATATTTTTAATACAATATTATTTATTACAACAACTGAAACGAAACACACATTTGAATTTTGAAGAAATCTTGTCGTCAATCTTTATTTCGGTAGTTATTATTATGAATTTCATGATTTTTGTAATCTGATGATAATTCACAAAATGTGAACAAGGAAATAATTAGTGGCCCCCAACAAATGTAAGAATATCTCTCGTAACGCTAGAATAAAAAAAATTACATATTCAGCTAAAAAAAATAAATGCAGTTTTTTTTTGGCAAACACAGCGTTTTTGTTATTTTAAATTAGTAGCATATATTGTTATTATTAAAAGTATCTTGCAGAGAGATAATAGTGCTAGACAGTTATTTCGCAGTAAGTTCGAAAAAATTCTGCCACAGGGGCACAGTTTATGTTTTTCTAAAAATCAAAGAAAATCTTTTTAAGAAAAAATGCAATTCTGAAAATTTAAAAAAAAAAAAACTCATAAAAATATTATTTACACATATATATTTATCATAAACTAAGAAAGAATTTTCAATCATATAAAGGTAAGCAAAATTATTTATCGAACATTAATGTGCAATAGCACGTAAAAGAATTTTGCAAACATGTGTCTTGAAAGAAAATAAAGACTATCTTTTACTGCAGATATTGTACTAAGCAACAGCCTAATTTGAGTGAATACTTACATGCTTAATGATGAATATGAATTTTTGCCTCTGCATGCAACTTTTTCACTTTTTTTTAAACATTTAACATGTATTAGAGTGCCAGTAACATCACTGTAGAGATTTTAAAAACAACATAAAAAGAGTATTTTCTAATAAAGGTTGATAAGGAGTAAAACTTGATTTTTATGAATGAAATATGTTTTTAGATGCATAATGGTAAACTCAGATACATACTATAACAGAATATTTTTAAAAATAATCATAGTTACGTAAAAACACAATAAGTTTTTACATAACTATGATTATTTGCTATGATTTGATGTGATTGGGTGTCAACATAGTCAATCAAACAATTTTCATTTTTTAACATACTATGGAAGTATATTTGATAATATTGCAACATATATATAAAAAATATATGTGAAAAAAATTCACATATTCATTTAGTTAAATGAAAAGGCTTCATTCCTTCTGCTATTATTAGTTAATCTGACCTGGAGTTAATATTTTTTCACTACTGACAACATAAATAGAAACTCTCATTCATTAACAACTAATAAGAAAATACAGTAAACAAATTATACTTACTGTTTGAGATTTTCCATTGTGATCAAAATTTTCTAAAGACTTTTGAGAAATAGATGAATCTAAAATAAAACATTCAGTTAAATTCAAGAAATAGAATAAAATAAAAAGTTTTATAAAACTAATAACAGCAAATGAACTAAGCCATTATTCATAAAATTTAAGTTTTAACACAATGAAATTAGGAGAAGCTTAACAATTTAAACTCATTTTCTTGGACTTCATCAAAAGATAGTGAATTTTAAATTATGTATCACCAACTTTAAAAGAGTGCAACAACAAGGACATAAATTGATTTATTACTTAGTAATTTAATAATAAGATTAAGTATCTTCTACTTTTAATCTGCCCTAAATATCCATCATGATGTCTTTGATACATAACTTTTTTTTAAAACAAACTAGAACTATTCTTTTAAATAAACATTAAGCGTTCATTTTTTACTGTATCAGAGAACAATACATCCATCAGGAGAAAAATAATTGTATGATAATAATAATAAAAAAAACAAAGTTTAATTCCAAAAATCATTCCCCTAATTATCTTTTTCTGAGTTGTTTAATGGAAAGAATGCAGCTCTTTTTTACTTAAAAAGAACCAAAAAGAGTGTTGCAATGTAAAATGATTTTGCACTCCAGCACTGGATAAGGTCAGCAGAATAGATAAAACTTTTTTAATTTAAGTATCTTGATTATAAAGATAAAATTCTTAACTTTTCTAATTGTCAAATATCAAATTTTACTAAAATATGACTAACTTGCTTTATGATATTAAGCAGTTTTTAGCAACAGCACAAAATTTGATATAACATTCAAAACTATTGAAGAAACAGCAATGTTCTTTAAGGAAGATGAGCTATGATATATGACATAATTTTATTTCTGGTCAAGTTATTGATCTTGACCAAAGTTAGCAAAAAAAAAAAATAATAATACTTGTAATAATAATAACAATAAAACAATTTGAAAAATTTAATGACTGAAAACAACTGACTTACAACTTACAACTGACAGTTAGCTTATTTGCAAAACAATATACAAAAATACCTGGATGCTTTCCTTTCTGTTCAAAGATAATAATTGAAATATAGCCAAATTATTAATAAGTTTTTATCATTAATTTTTACAATGCATAAAAACCAGACATAATGGAGACATGATTGAACATTATAATGTTTTTTTTTTGCACTGGCTTTGTACAGGGTTAAAATTTTTTTAAAAAAATTTTGTAGAAAAATAAATTAAATTGCTCATACACTAATGAACTTAAATGTAAAAATACAAAGTATAATATGAGAGTTTTCAAACAAAATAAAAGCATACAAACATGACATTTTTCCAAATTAAAGAACTAAATATTACCCGATTCATATAAATGACCAATAGTTTTTCTTTCATGTGAATAAGAATTTGGTGAATATTTTCTTGCCATATCTTCTTGNAAGGTTTTTAAAAAAAAAAAAAAAAAAAAAAAAAAAACACATTTACTAGATAATTAAACCAATTAATTTTAGAATTTAAATTAAAAAATTTCAAAAAGCAAAATAATAACAATAAAATAAAATTAAGCATCAAAGTTAAGATTTTTGTTATCTGGGTATGAACATAATTTTTGGATTTAATAACTAAGTGCATGAATAGCAGATTGGTAAGAAGTAGTGGCCAAGTAAGTTATAGCCAAATAAATCAATTGAGTGGTTGAAAACCCTTGAGATACACTGGAATAGCTGTCCAGACTCCAATTTACCTCTGCATTTTACCATAACATACAATAATTATATGACTTAGGCTTAAAAAATTATTTCAGTATGTTTGTAATAATAAATCAAGAAACTTAGTTGGTTTCAGCTTAAAAAAAAAGATATTAGGTTGACTGCCATTAAGTATAATATTTAACAGATAAATGATGTAATAGTACATATTTACTTTAAGCAGTGGTGCAGTTTAAGGGAGGGTTTGGGGGTCAAAACCCCCTCTCAAATTAAACATCACTTCTTGATTAATTAAGAGTTGTATGGTAAGTAGGATGCCCCTCGAACATACATTAAAATTACGCCACTCACTTTAAGTGAAAAAGAGAAACCATTTAGACACAACCAGACGAGAAACTAAATATTCAAAAATTTAAACTAGAAGATAGAATGTAAAGCCAAGATTTTGATGAAATGGTATAGTTACTCTACTAAAATCTTATGTCAAAATTATAATGCTTGAAAATGCCAAAAATGAAAAACTTTTGTCAACTAAATAGATAAAAAAAACTGAAATAAACCACCGAAACAAATTTCAAAAACAACAATACAGCTTTAGGTTTATTTAGTAAAAACAGCTATTTGTAACTTAAATCTTAGTTTTGAACAGAATTAATTAAAAAACCTTTATACATTTAAAAATAAATTCAAATAATGCTATACTGAAATAGAATTTTAATCTACACTTGATAATTTTACCTGTTTTCCAAGATTTAAATATGTGTGTTGAAACATTACTTGAAATAAGAACTTGGAAGTACTTAGTTTGATTTTTACTACTCTTCTATACATCAAGTATTGATTAAAGAAGCATGTAAAGTAGATGGAAATGGATGGATGGATGGACAAAAATTAATCCCAAACTTTTGTAACAAATTTTAATAAAATTAAAGAAAAAAATCTCACAAGTTTTAACCCATGTTGCTTTTAAGAGGTATATGTTTTAAGTTTTCATGAAGTAATGAAAATAAATTAAAATCTAATGTTGTCTTAGTTTAAAATTATTTAATATTTTTATAGTTTCACGATTTGTTAACTAAAGAAGTCTTTTAACCATTGATAAAACAAACTATTTAAATTTTTAAAGTTAATATCAAAGAAAAAATTAAAAAAATTAATGAGTTAAATTTCAAAAGTACTAAGAATTGCTCAGAAAAAGCAAAAAATATATTTCTTCATAAATATTTCAAATATAAAAAAAATATATACTCTATTTTTTTCTTCAAAAGATGGTTCACTTGATGCTTCCAAACTACAGAAAGCCCCTTTGTTTTTGGGAGATTTTTTGCTTTCTTTAGGAGTTGCTTTTTTAGTTGAATCCAGAACTGTTGAATTTGTTGACATCTCTTCAGCTAAAGAATTAGAAACCTTTTTTTAAAAAATATAGTACACTTTTTAAAAAAAAAAACAGAAAAATAAACAAAATATGCTATTAAAAAACTATGTTTCGAGTGAATTTATACTGAAAATATACAATTGAGGTATAAAGTTTATAATAACAGTATAGATTTAGAACATAACTTTGAATTTTAACAAGTTAAAAGGTTATTATATTAAATTGTGAAATGGAGAAATTTTTGAATATTATTTAATGTTTTGACTTTCAACTATAATGAGAACATGGATATAAATTTGTATGCAATGCAATAAAAAATTCTTTATAGAGCATAAAAGTTTAATACAATTTAGCATATATATCCTCAGTAAAGGTTAATATAAGATATATAGCTTTTACTTTTAAATTGTAATTAACCTTTGAACAAAATGGGTTATTTTAAAGAATGATGTGTATCCTTTTTTAAATATTTCAGACAACTAAGACTAGGGCAAAAAATCAATTAAAACAGAAATACATTTTTTTCCATCAATAGAAAATAAAGAATAATGCTCGTGAATTTCAGTTAAGTAAATTATTTTATCATTAAATTGTTATTTACCTAAAATCAAATTAATGTGGTTTTATGCTTACTTTTGTTGCTGAATGTGTAAATGTGTACACATATAGTTTCTTCCAATGAGCTGACAGCAAACATGTGCTCATATGGATGGTATTCAATACATGATAATTGACAAGGATGTAGGTTATTTGGCAATGTAGCATCAATGTGTTCTACATAAACAATAAACATAAAATTTTAAATAACATAAAATTCACAAATTTCAAAAATTAATTATTCAGACAGAAAGGTAGAAATTAAAATATGCTAATTATGCAAAGATTAGCTTTGCTAAAATATTTCAACCTCTGGTGGACAATGTATATTTTAAGAGAGTAATAGTAAAAAAAAAAGCCACCACCAAAAGTCATAAGTGTCCAGTGACTTTAGTCTACATACTACTACAATTTAAAAAAAACTAATCAATTGAGAGACTATAAAACATGTTAAAACAAAAATTCTACTAAACGTAAAATTTATCAAAGTTAACACAAGATTTTTGAGGCCTAATTTAAGCCTTTCTCTTGTTTTTCTAAATACTTAGGGTTTAATTTTTATTTAAAGATATGACTAGTAAATTTAATGGAGTTTAAACAGTTCAATCAAAATAACATTAAAATTTCAGTATTTATGCTGAAAACTTCTTTTTCCTTGCTTTTTTGGCTTACTACATTTAATTTAAATATTTGAGTTTAAATAAAAACTGACCTATTGACAGACTATGAAAAACTTTAAACAGAAATTCTGTTAAAAGTAATATCTACCAGATGATAATGTAAGATTTTTGAAGACCAATTTATGCCATTTTTCTTGTTATTCTACTAGCTTTCTTGTAATTCTACTAGTTTTTGACATGAATTGCAATTTTGATAGTTTATACAGTTAATTAAAAAATTTAAATTTAGTTTTCATTTTGAGACCTCTTCTTTCCTCTTGTTTCTCTTGCTTAGCACACTAAAATTTTGAAAAACAAAAAAAAAGTGAGTTATAATTTTAAAGTTAAAAACATTTATTCTAATGTAATAGAGTGAAATTAGAAAATCGGATAAGTTTTTATGAAAAAAAGTAAAAACTTATGTAAAGGTTAAATACTCACTTGATTTTGTATTCCATACACAAATGCTTCCATTACTGCTAGAGAGAAAAAGCAAATTTCCACAAGGTGAACAGCATCCAGATAAGGGATTTTGAGGTTTCATAGGTAATTCATATTGGAATAAGACTTGATCTCTAAGAAAAACAGGCTAATTACAGCTATTTCAAAATTAAAGAAACTCAATTTAAAATAAAATGAATATTTTAAATACTAAGTTCAAACTTTTCTTGATTAAAATGTGATCGATTATAATTTATCTCATCATTATTGAATGCTATGCAAAAAATTGAAACACAAACATTGCAGAAATCCACATTATTATGCATGCATTAATAATTATAACGTATTTTTTTAACTATTTCAGAAAACTTGAATGTTAAAATTTTTGTAAAACCTCATATTTTGTTTGTTATAACAAGGGAGAGCTTTATGATAAATAAAATAAAAGAATCCCTACTATTTCATACCGATATTTATTTTTGAATACATATTTTCATAAATAATTATAAATAAGATAATAAATAAGAATTAAAAACAAAGAGAATTGAGGAAATTTATATATTAAGTTCATATTTAAAAAAAATTTGAAAAATATTTACAAATCTTATTAAATAAATAGGAAGAAAAAATATTTGTGATACAGATTAATTACAACAAATAAAGTGTTAAAAATAGATATTTTTCAATGAGTTAATGTCTTGGTAGTTCAAGAACTCACTTTATGAAATCAACTGATCGAACGCTACCATCCCCGCAAAATACATGAACAACATCTGAAAGGCCATCAATAATTTTATCAACAGATGTTATCTGAAATTAAGAAATAAAAGCATTTTTATGGTTCCATTATGTATAGCTAGAAATGTATACAGAAATGAAACAAATTGGCTGTCAACACAAGAAAATTTTCTTTTTTCTTCCTCTTATTTTTTGAGTTTATATGAATAAATGTTGAAAAATAACAAACTTAAGGAAGTTATTAAAATAAAAACAAAATCCAAAATACTCTTAAAAAGATTATTTTAAATAAAAGAGTAACTAATGCCACTTTTAAAAACAGAAATGATTGGATTCTCAATATGCTAGAATTAAATACTTCTTTACAATGGTGAGCAAACCAAAATGGAATTTGAAAAAAAAAAGTTTATCATAATCTTTATCTTTCCTATTACAGTGCCGTTAAAATTTCTTTTCAAATTGTACATGAGTTAAAATGTTTATTATAGATAGTAAATAAACAAGTGCTAAACAAAAGCTTTCATTTTGCTGGATTTTGAAACATAAAATATGACATACTAAAATGATGTAAAAAAATAATATACCACAAGATACGAAAAGTTTTGATTATTAATTAATAAAATAATAAAAAACAATAATTATTGAAAAATATATTTCTCATAGAATTACCAGTGGATAAATTAATTTTATTAATTGTGCACAAATATATTTTGATTCCTGTATATATTGGAAGAGATTTGATAAAATATGCAAAAAGTAATTTTCTTTTAAGTAACTCAAACCCAAACCATTTTTTGCCATTATGAAAGATGTTTATTCAAGGAAAATACATTTTTATGTCTGATTTAGTAGCTTATATTGGATGTACTAATTAATTAGCATATTTAAGATTTTTAATCAATTAATTAACATTTTTGTATGTGAGGAATTTGATTGTTATTTAAGATATATTTTTTGTATATTGTCTACATGATGAAATTAAATTATCATGCATGTTAAAGATTAAAACGATCTGCTTTGCAAATAAATTCAAATTTTATATAAAAAAATACAATTTTTTAATAGAGAATGAAACGATTTAGAATTACAAACAAGAGAAAGACACTGTTCATGCTAGTTATCAAAAATTTTTTGAATTTTACGTGTAGTAATATAAATTGATGCTCAAGAAACAAAAACAGTTATGAGTATCAGATTCTTGATAATGAATATCAGACTGAACAACCAGGATAAAGTTGACAAATGTTCAGTTCAAAAACAAAACCTGAACTTTTAAAAACTAAAATGAAAATGGGTTTGAGAGTCCTATAAAATTTTTCCTTTTCTAAACTAGTCACAAAAAATGAATTTAGAAACATGAAATTATATATATTAAAGTATCTAAATTCTTCTTCATTTTTAAAAATGAAAAGGTATTAATACATTTGAGAAAGGCAGGCACATTACCTTGAACAAAATAAGTCAAAGGTTAAATAGCCTCAACAACTGTACCTTAATTGCAGGGATATTTAGTTCCTTTACATGAACATACTTCTCAAATTTTCTTTCTAAAAAGAGATGAAAGATACGATAAATACAAATCAAATTAAAAAATTATAAACAATGAAAAACTTATTAATAAAATATCCCAAGAATTAACATACATATTACACATGTATCAATATATAAGAAGACATATGCGAAAGATAAAAAAGTATTATTACAGAAACTTTTTACAGAAAAATCAAACATTACAAGAAAAACAATTGTTCCAAATTTAAATGGTGTTTTCATAATAATTTTAAAAGAAAGTAAATAATTTAAGGGATAAAATAGCATGATTTCTTTTTAACTAGAAGCTCAGAAAAAAGTATTTATGAGTCAGAGCTTGTATGAAAAGGCATTAACTAGACATATATGTACGCTTTTTGATGGAAATATTTAATAATTTTTATTAAATATACAATGTATAACAGCTGCTATAAAGGAAAAAAAATTAAATTTTTTTGAGGTAACAAATCACAGAGATATATTTGAAAGAAATATTTAGATATATTTGAAAGAAAATGGAATTCATAATTACAGAATCCAAATCATTTTTTTAAATTTAAACTAAATAAAAGGGCAACCTTTTTACATTTAAATAAATATTGAAGAATAGGATGACAATCAGTTTTACATAATGGTAGGATTAGATAACCTTGTAAACATTTCTAAATCATGGTTTTAATATTTTTTCATGATAATTTAAATAATAAAATATTACATTATTGATTGCCAAGTTCTATTTCCATTTAAATATTAATAAAATAACAATCCAAATATTTTTTTAGTCACACGCTGCATAGCAATTGAGTAAACTCACTTTACATAGATATTTCCCACTGTTGTCTTAATTCTCCCATTTCCCCCATTCAATTGTCCCATTTACTCTCATTTGTTTCAATAGTTTAAAGTTTAAAGCTAGTTTAAATGTTTAAAAAAATAGCATTAAAGATCTATTTACCATTTCGGTTCATAGAATATTTTGAAATATTTGGGATTTTCCACACATTTATAAGGCCATGACTGTCACCAGATAATAATTTCATTTTTCTCTCAATCCAACATAATGTGTTGACTGAACCATTGTGGCCTTCTAGTTCTTGCAAAAGTTGAACAGCATTGTTGTATGTCCATATTCGCACAATATGATCATAACAAGCTGTACAAATAATATTCTTAGTTCCAGGTTGAAATTTGGCAGCATAAACATATGAAGGATGTACAAATGAAGCTTTAAATGTCCATGATTCTGAGCACCATAGTCTAAAAAAATTCTATAGATATATTTTTTAATCCTTCAAACTAACATTCAATTAAATTTTCCGACACAGCAAATGATGAAAAGTAGTAATAGGATGCTAATGCAAGATGATTAAGTGCAAATTTCAAGGAGCAATGCATTGATGCAAAATGGGTGCAAGAGTCAATAAAGTGTAATTTTTGGTGCAGTTAGTAAAAATGAATAAAATCTATTTAGGCAGACAATTGTCAATGTCAGTAATGAGTGATAAGACAAAAAAGTATAGAATATTGCTTAATTGCATAAAGGCTACATCATCAATTCTTTTACATCAACAATTAATTTGATCATTTATTTTTATTGCAGTTAAGGAATAAAGGAGGAAATAAAGGCATTGATTAAAACCTCTATACATTTGACAAACATTAAGATGGTAAATACAGAACAAACGTGACTACAGAGAAGCTATATATTATATATATATAAAAATATTTAGAATTGTAAGTGTGTTGCAAAATTTATATATCTCCTATCCTCTTTCTTGATTTTTTTCATAAAAAGTTTGAAGGAAAAATTTAGTATTGTCCAATGTTTTCATATTATTAAAAGAATATCAAAAAATTTTAAATTTCGTTTGTGAGAAAAAGGGTAAATTTATTGTCAAAACCTGTTATAAAATATACCAATTTATATAGGTCTCCAAGACATTTAATAAATCTTAAGCACAGACAATTAATTTAATCAATTCATTAAATGAAGTTATATGTAACACTTTATTAATACAGGACAGACGTGACTACAGAGAATGTATATTATAAATATATATATGTATATATAAGCAGTAAAAATTGATAAAGTAATTTAGTAAGCGATTTAGTAATTAAAAATAGTAGAAGTTGATAAAGAATCTGTCTACTGAGGAATATGGCAAGGGTGATAGTTACAGGTACAAAACAACTAAGGGTTATATTTCAGAAGGTGCACAATCCGTGCAAAAAAATAAATAGATTAGAATTGTAAGTGTGTTGCAAGATTTATATATCTCCTATCCTCTATCTTGATTTTTTTTTTTCATAAAAAGTTTGAAGGAAAAATTCAGCTTGAGGTAACCAACTTTTTCTTAAAACTAAGAATCATACTTCAATGAAATTACACATTGCGTAAATTATTCTGTTTATATATTTTCAGAAGAATAGAGAAATGAAGTATTACATGGGTGTTTTAATTCCTTACTTGTAGAGTTTAAGAATAATTGTCATGCATAATTAAATGTATTAAAAAATTATCTCTACACATATTAAAAAACAAATCTGTATGTTTTCGTTGCATTGATATGAGTGCATTTACAGTAAAACAATTTAAATTGATGGTAAATTCGTAACCCAAATTAATGCATTTCATAACATAAATTTCAGTATTTTGATTTAAATTTTTTAAGAAGTTGGTGATACATAGTGATGAAACATAAAGGACTAAACATGGGAAACTGACAACATGCACCAAACATGTTATTAGAAAATATTTACTCCATTGTACTGATATTATAATTTTTTTAGTTTGGTCAATTGAACAAGGAGTCATTTGTCTTACCTTATATTCCATACTATATATTAGGTGTTACTGTTTTTTGAAAACCTATCAGACTTATACTCCAAATTTTTTGTTATTATTTTTGGCGAGACCACTTTTGCGCTATTTTAATCAATGTAATGCTAATTATATATTTTCTTTACTAGCTTGATTATTTTTATACTCCATTCTCCTGATGTTCAATCCTGGCATCCCACTTTTCCATTAGTAAATTTGGACAAATAAATTAATTTGCAAAATTTGAATGCTGTACTATTTTTCATTTTTGTGAATTTTGTTGCAATTTTGCATTTGCTCCAAACTAAATTGAAAATATCTTATTTGTATCATTCACGAAGATTCACAAAACAGAGACTCCATGAAAGTTGGTTACAAGGACAATCATTTAAAAAACTTTTTTGCACACAAAAGTAAAAACACAAATCAAAACTGATATGAAAACCTGTAAACACATGCATCTTTATTTGCTTAATTAATATTGATGTGCACTAAATGTCTTTTTTACCAAACAATATGGTCAAAATAATCAACTAAGTTGATAATCTTTATCCCATTTTGCAATAGTTGACAAGATAAAAATGATAGCTTCAAATTTAATTCCTCCAAGTGGTACTGCTACCGTATTGGACAGTGACCACATAGTAATTTTACTATGCTGTATATTTCTGAAATTAATCAATTTACTATACTGTAAATGAATTCAGTAGCAGCTAAACTGTAAAGAAAAAATGTAAGATATGAGCAAAATATTATAAACACTAAGCAGTTGTGAAGACTGACAGCAGTGAATGATCCAAAATTACATACTTTACACTATAATCTCCTGAAGTAGATATAAAACAAGAATCATCACTGCACCATTCAATGTCATATATTACATCAGAATGAGCTAATTTCTTTGTTAAAAACTTTCCAGAAGGAATCTAAAATATTTTAAAGAAAATACATCACAGTGTATATTTTGACAATAAAAAGCTAATAAGAAATACTTCCATCATTAGCATTATAAAAATACTTACAACAAATGAAAAAATACTTACCTCATAAACAGATATAAAGAACTGACTTGAAAGACCACTGCCTGCTATGAGAAATCTGCAAGATACAAATGAATGAAAACTTTAATTAATATAAAAATTTAACTTGAAGTAAATAAAACTACACCTAAGAAATTTGAAAAAGTAAATAAAGTGAATGGTAAATTTAACATAACTCTATAAATTTATAAAAATTAATCACATATAATGATTCCTTATAAGTGTTAAAGCTCTCAGAAAATGCGAGTATTGCTTTTTTTGATGTCTTATTCCTCCATAAACAATAAGAATTTTGATGCACGCCAGCATCATATTTATAAAAGTCAGGACTGAGAGGGTTAAAATAAGCCGAAAAAAATGTTATTTCAATTTGTTATTGGGTACAAGTTTAAGTATTAAGCAATAATTTTCCAGTTCAAATGTTTCATTTTATTGCAGTTCAAGTTTTGGTTGTTATGTAGTAGTTTATGAGTTTCTCCGTAACTAAAATTGCTAATTGTACAATAATGCACATGTACTTTGGGATTCATTATTAAAAGATATAAAGTAATAAACTTTTGGGCAACAAAGACATGATAGTTAAATGCAAATTATTATTTTCTCATTGACATAAAATAACTAAATGTAACAGGAAAAACTGACATTATTTGCTTTCTGTAAAACTCTGTTCAGTTTTCTGAATTGATAAAATAAACATGTTGTGTAGCAAATAAAACTTTAGCAATCGCATCTAATACCAAACTGAAAAGTTTTTTGACTAATCACTGACAGAAATAAGTAATCCTGTCCCACATGTAACATGTAAAACTTAGTAAGTTATTTCGCGGCAACACAATACTTAAAAAAGAATTCTTTTAACAAACAAAATCATTAAACTTCTATTTAAGAAAGTTGGGAAAAATGCGAAAGTAATAATAAGAAAATAACATACGTTTTACATAAACGTAAGTTTATTTTAATTTATTTATGAGACATTTATTAATTGTGAAATATTTTATTCTGATTACAGTTAGTCTTATTTAGGATTTACTAATGTTTTGCTATAAAAATAAATAGACAAAAATAAAATAAACATTATCATAATTCTGAAGAAAATTTCGGAAGATTCCTTTTCTAAGATATACCCTTTTGATTGTTTTCATATTTATCTATAAAATGTTATTTCAATAATTATTTGTAAAACTTCTAGACCTCTCTTAGACATTTATAAACACAAAAAAATGTATGTATGTACAGAAAATAAAAAATGGAATAGCTGAGTAAATTTTGGTTTAATGATCAGATTAACAGGTATTAACATGCAATCTTAATAGTTCGACAAGATAATTTTAAACAGGTAAATTAATTCATGTGCATGATGTTTTAAATTTAAAAATCATGTAAAAAAACAAAAACACTTTCTCTGAATAAACAGTATTTTTTCAGATGGATATGAATTCTTGAACTTTAGAACAAGTATGGAGGGCTGCAATCAGGAAAAATGAACAGATTAATTCAGTAAGGAGAGCGATTGGAAGTCAAGCCCACTTAGAGCTAACTTATTATTAGCTGACTTATTTGGGCAAATCACAAAAGTTTTACACACAATGATAAAACTCATTTATTGAAAAATAATTTCACATGAAATATTATTTTTTAAGATTACTTACTATTTCGTATTGTTTTTTATGCAAAAAATTTTGAATTGTAAGGTATACAAATTTTAATCATTTCTAACCATGTAATTTTAAATGAGAAAATTTATTTTATACTGAATCATTAAAATAGTTGAGCAATAAAATTTTTAATATAGTCATATTTTAAAATTTAATTTTCTTAATAAAAAAAAATCTTATTTTAGAAATTACATAAAAAAGAAGAAAAAAATCTAATTTTTAAAATTTTCTTTCCTTAAAAACTATTTGCCCATTATGGTAATCTTTTAGATTTTGCAAATCATGTAAAAATTTGTATAACTTATGATCCATATTTTTTGCAAGAAATGATCTTAAAATTGAGTTTTATCATTGTGTGAAAAAAGACTTTTGATTCACTTGCATGATTCCAAAGATATATTGAAACTTGACTGTTAAGAGCTTATTTTTCAGACTGTAATTCTTTATTTTAAAGGTAAAGAAAGAAAATTAAGATGTTTATTCAGAGGAAGTAGCATTTTATCTCTGATTTTGTAACTTAAATTTAGTTTTTTCATTTTATTTGGCATGAAACTGTTAAATTTGTGTCGTATTATGAGAAAATTTCGATCATTTGAACAAAAATTATAATTATTTTTGTTTTTTTATTTTACGCAATGTTTGTATATACATGTGCTCAGATACATATAATACACGGCAATGAATGTGCTGATGTAATTGCAAAAAGTACTCAGAATATAAGCAGGAATGTTTTAGCACCATTGGACATCAAGCGAATTTGTAAATTATCAGTTTATCAAGCCTGGAAAGAACACTGGAATACACAAAATGATAATAAATTACATGAAATTTTCCCTTCTATTGATAACAATAAGATATTATCCATAGACCGCAAAACTAATGTTTTAATAAACAGGTCACGCATTGGCCACTCACGATATACCCGTATGCATTTATTGAAAAATGAACCTGCACCTGTTTGTTCATTCTGTAAAGTTGTTATCACCATTAAGCATATTTTTACTGACTGCAGACAATTCAAATACTTGAGAAATTTTTTTTTTTTGCAGTTTTAACCCTGATCTTCAATCTTTACTTGGTGACCCTATACATCACAATCTTTTAAAATTTATCAAAGTCATAGGACTCTATTATCTGATTTAAAAAATAACACCTTGGCTTAACCTTGTGACCAAATTTTAACCTAGTGCCTGGCGCAGTATAGCCATTTCTGGCTCTTGCGCCAATAAAATCCAACCAACCAACCAGATACATATATATAGAGTTTTCCATATTTCCATAAAGTATATTTTTAGACTTCTTGTCAAAAGTGAAGAAAAAAGTTATATACATTTGAGGGTCCTAAATTAATATTTAAGCTAAAAAAATATTTAAGAAATCTGGCGAACCACTATGGAAGAAAAAAAGATTAAAAATATAAAGACATGCTTAATTGTAGTATATTCTTGAGAGTGTTTCTAAATGTAGCCTACCAACTGATCTCTGTTTATTTGAGCAGTTAAGCAGGTTTTACCAATATCTTTTTCAATAGTAATTTTTCCGATTTTTAAGAGATTTTTCTTCCTTTCTTAGGTATTGATTTGTTACCCTAAATATCCATATTTTTTTAAACTTTTCTGTATTATTACTCTTTTTAATCCTATGTACTGGCTGCACATGATACATTGTATGTCATACTGTACTTTCCAGCGATGTGTTATAAAATTTTTCATTTGTGTCTTTGGCTCACTATAAGGGAGGTTCCGTCGGCTTCGGCACTATAAGGCGGGACTCTCGGAGCATTTTAATTGTTTTACTGCTGTTGCCATCAGATTGTGTAATGTTTTCGTATTTTTGCACTTTTTGTATTTTATGTTCTTTTCTGTTTTTCTTCATTTTAATAAACATTTACCCATATGCCCTAAATTGGGGCAGGTTGGGGTAAATATTTCATATTTTTTAAACTTTACTTTTAAAAAGAATTCAAAAAATATTTATCATGGGCACTGACTATTGAACACATTGTATGTATATAGGTTAATATAATTATTTTAAAATTCTGAAGAGCATTATCTATTAAAAAGTTAAGTAAAGTTAATAGGTAAAAAGTATAAATATTTATAGTATTGCTGAAAAAAATAAGTTTTTTAGTTCAATTCAGATGAATGATACTGAAAAGGTTTAAAATAAAGCAATACTTATAAATAAAAATGTAATTTTATAACTATTTAGTACCTTCCAGAAGAGCTAAATTTTAGTATTTGACAAGAGCCTGAAGTAGCTAAGGATAATGAATTGGTAGTAGGTATTTTACAAGGCTCTCCATCCTTTCTTGACCATTTATATATAGAGTTCCCAGCAGTATTAGAGCTACAGATAAAAAGGAAAATCATTAAGTAAAACTTCACAAAAAATATTGAGAAACTCAATTCAACTGAAGTTTTATTTAACCATGACAAGTTGGTGGATGGGGGAAAAGCTAAGAAAAAAGGGTTCACTTTTTCATAGGTTAGAACAAAAAAGTGCACGAAATATGAGAGATCCTTTTTTGGCAAATGAATCTGTGAAAAAAATATGTAAAATCAGCTGTAATAAGATTTGGTACAAAATGTTTCATTAGGAAAAAAAAACATTTCGGTTAGACTGTGAAAAGATGGCGATAAAACATCAACTAAGATGTCTTTATTCACTTTGCTCTGATTCTATGTTTCTCTTTTGCTTTACCTTTCTTTGCCTTCTTCCCCTAAATCACTGGAATGAACTCTACTGTTTCACTTTACTCTTAGTTTACCCCACCAACTTGTGATGGCAGATCTATAATACATTCAAAGCTAAGTATAAGTTTTTATTATATAAATTAACAAGTGAAGTTGCACTTTAAGTTTTTATTCAATAAATTAGTAATTTGAAGAATATGTTTGCTTAATAATGTGATTTAATTAATCTAATTTATAACAAAGAAGGAGATTTGGAGATTTATTTATTTAATTTTCAAATTAAAAAATGGGGGTTAAATGTAATATTTGTAATGGGGGCATTTAAATTTAAAGTTTTTCAAATAAATTATTTCTTTCAGTACATAAAGGAAGATTAAAAGTGCTAGTTAAGTTATAAAACTAATTACTAATAAAAGGAGATTTTCTTAAAAAAATTAAAAATACTTTTCGTAAAAAGTCCTTTTAAAAAACATTAAAGAAATACTTAAATGGAAAATTGTGAATAAAGACTTTACTATTCAAGTTTTAATCCTGTTACTAGTAATAAGTTAAAAAAATAAAAAACTTTTTCTTGATAAACTTATTACTTAAAATTTTGTGAAATTATAGTTTAAAAGACTAGAAGAAAACATTGAAGAATGTAAAAAATTTAGTCAGAATTGAGAAATAATTTTGTCTTGAGAAAGAAATTAATATAAGAATTAAGTGTACCTTTCATTAGAATTTTCAATTGAATTGTTAGAAGAGTTGGTTTTTTCAATAGATTTGTTAGACACAGAAATAGTTGTTTCCTATTTGAAGAAAAAATCATAGTTATTTAACTTTTGAAAAATAATCACAGATAATTTTAGTCAATTAGAAAAAGTACCTAAAACTATAAGAAATCAAGTAATTACCTACTAATACAATGTAAGATTCACTGCATAGTTTTTGCAATTATCTACTAATTTAGTAAATTTAACATTAAATAAAAGAATTTCAAGTGAAAAAAATATTTTGGGAAAAGAATTGACAAATGCGGCAAAAAAATTATAAAAGTGATATCTAAAAAAATTTGGCTGTTTTTTTTTTCTAATTTAGGATGTTTTAATGTCCTGCTGATGCGATTTTTTTAATGAATTATTGAAGAACTAAGATGTAGTGTGCCCTACAGTTATTTTGGAACTTTCATCATTTTCGATTTTACATCTTCTTGACATGTTTAACGAAGTTATGGATCATTAGTCCTTTAACGCACTAGATAATTTTCTAAAGGTATACTTGAAGGTTTTTTTTTTTTNACTTGAAGTTTTTTTTTTGTATATTATTGGGGAATTTTTAAATAGATCAAGAGGTCATTGAAAAATTACTAGGCTAAGTTTCTTTAAAAAAATTTACTAGTTTTAAATTTGAGTGGTTATATTAATGAAGGAATTCTATTCTTAACAATAGAAAGATTCAATTACACTTATAACACTTAAAAAATGAGAAATGCGTTCCACATGAACAAAAACAACTAAATGCCACAAATAGGGTTAATAAAGTAGATATGTTAATGCAAGCAAATGTTTAGAAAATTTCCTTTAAATATGAATAGTAATAGATTATTAAAAATGTTTTTAAAATAATTAAACATCATTTGCAAGTATCGTAAAACATTCTGATAACAATCCAATATGGGTTGGGAGGTCAAAGAAGTTAAAGCTGTACGATATTGTGAACAATGGCATATTAGTGGCTATGTGTTCAGCATTGTGCACCAATCAGCTTTACTTTCCAGATACATTGATACCCTTGGTGGGTTTCAAGCTCTTACCAGGGATCAAACCCAAGGATTTCACACTGACAGCTTAGTGTCTTAACCACTGAGCCATCATGGCTCATTCATAACTTTCATTAAGTTTAAAATAATGAATTAAAGTTAAAAATTATCTTATCAGATATACTTTAAACATTTAATGATACCACTAATGTTTAAACATTTCATGATGCCAGTAATATATACAGTCGGACCTCTATCTAACGAAGTTGCTAAATCCCGATGATAAGTTCGTTATAGAGAAAATTCGTTAAATAAAAAATCACCTTTTAAAATACTTAAACAATACAAAACAGGTTTAAATTCATAAACACTAGGCATAATTAAAATAGCAATTGATACACCGTTATCCTGTAAACTAGTATCTACTATTTATTTTATAAATTTTAACCATAAAAAAAATCTGCAGGGAAAGCAGGAATAGAGCAAAACATTATACAGTGTTATATTATCATGCTACATACATTTTCAACTAAAAAAAAAAAAGAAAGAAGATAAATTTATGTATAAAATTATAACTGCATTTATTATAAAAGTAATTTTAAACATGCATTAACCACATGCGTTTTTAAGTCAAATTGCTACTGATAAAATCCATTAATTTGAACTGAGTTTTTTGTTTGCAATGCAAACAAAAAAGGAAAAGAATTTTGCTGCTTTTTCTAAAATAACTTTTAGAGAGAGCAGTAAAACATTGCACAAATCAGTAGCTTCGAAAATTAATTCATGTTCATTTCCCTCATCAAAAGCGTTAACAAGCTTGAAGTGTTCTGAAATATTTTAGAAAATAGGGAAAGGGAATTTCAGAGAAAAGTTCGTTAAATAGAAGTCCGACTGTATATNTATATATATATATATAGTATAAGTATGAAAAGCATAAGTAAGCTTTAAGAATACTAGGAAAAGTAAAATTCTCTGATAATACTAATTATTATCATTGATTATGAAATTAAATGAAAACCCATATTATAAAATAAAACCCATACTTCTTGAAATGGTAACATTGATCGCAAAGAAGGCTCAATTGAAAAAATTTCATGAGGTTCAATAGATACAAGGAGTGAAGCTTGAAGAGGAGATTTTGTGCTCTTTGACCACCACTGAAACACCTATATTGAAAGATGATTACTATTAAGAATTTATATTAAAAAAAAATCCTGGTTTATGTTACTGAAAATCAAGACATGATGGGATTTCCCTAGCAAAAATACTCAAGAGTAAAATAATTGATCATTTTATTTCAGATAATAAGTCTACTATATTCACTACCAAATGCTAAGTCAGTTAAACACGATTTTGTAAAATTTTTTTAATCTTACACACAATATAAAATATTTTGATGACCTAAATACAGTAGAGGTCTTTATTAGTTTGTTAAAAGAAATATGGTGACAATGTCATAAAAATGGTAAATTGTATTCATTACTTTATAGTGCTGAATTCTTAGAAGTAGAGCTGTATTCATAGTTAAAAAGCAGCATACCAGCAGCAAATATAATGCAAATAAGTTTTTTAAAATTTGAGAATCACACAAAAAAGTTTACTTAGGTCTGTGTTAACAAAGTTGCAGTTTCTCTCATACCAATTTGAATATTGTAAAATAATCATTTGACTAAGAAAGTTTTAGTAATAAAAACACTGAATTATATTATTAGTAACCCTGTATTGCATATTGTGATGTTCTTTATTCACTCTCAAATAGTTTTAGATTTAACTTTAATACCAGGCTACAAATCAAATAATATGTGGAAATTGTGCCATTTTATAGTGGTCTATCAAACTAATAAAAATTAGGGTCATTTAATTCTTAAATGGAATTTTTTTAATTGCATTCTTTTTACCAAAACACACCATTTACTAGCATCTATGAAGTTCGTATTTTATTTAATCATTGAATTACTTGCTGAATCTAATCTCTCAAAAAAGTGCTACAATTAGCTGGTTTTCTTCATTAACTTACTCCTTAATTATATACTCATTCAGACATGGAAGTCTTAGAAATTTATCAACCTCAGCTTTACAAACATTATATATTTAATCCACCTAGAGTAATTTGTAGATTCCCTTGGGTTCTCTAAATTTAGTTTTGGGTTCTAGCCAAGGATAATGTCTTATTTAAATACTCCAATTTAATCAATTAGAGGAACATATAAAATTAAACACAAAGAAATCTAAGACTCTTTTGTGCAAACTACACAACTGTTCATATAGGTTAGAAGAAGAGTAATTTCTGGATCACTTATTTATTTTTGCATTTAAGTTTTTTAAAAAGCACCAAACGTGATTTGTTCTTGACAAGTTATAATTAATTTAAACAATTTTCATTTATTTTCTTTAATTAATTTTTTGTTAGATGACACAGATATAGTGAGAAGTTTTGATGAAAACTTAACAGATTTTTTTGCAACTAATTTCATTATTGTGTCTCTAACATCTTTAAAAACATGTAAAGAAATTGATATTTTACTTTTGTAGCATTTTTTTCCTTGCATATGTGAACACAAAATCTACATTATACATATCAATTTATATAATTTTGTTGCTTCTGCTATTATTTCTTTTACTATTAAATTTTTGAAATGGAGAAAATGTCATTAACAATCCACAAGATATTAGTTATTCCTTTAATGGAGACATTTGTTTTAAAAGATTATAAAAAGTGTCGCTAAAACTATGTGTCCAAACTGTTAAAAGTTGTATTTCATTCTGTGCTTTTGTAATATCTAGTTCTATCATCATGCATGACATATAAATGATTTTTTAATTGATTGATATTAATCATTAAAACACTAACTTAATATGTCAGAAAGAAAACACTTTCTTTGTATGAACTAATATTAAAATAATATTAATATTTTTCAGAATATAATAATTCTCCTTAGATAATTTTATAAATAATTTTAATCAAGAAGAAATACTAATGAAACACGTAAATTTTAGAAAGCTGAATTTGGGTATTATCTGAAAACATACAGATCAGCAAGCTAGTCAGAAAAAATGAGACCAGTGGTTTGACATGTGAGCATCGATGAACTAAAAAGGTGATATGTTACTTGATATAAAATCAAATAACTTGATATAAAATCAAAACAGAAAAAATGAAGAAGAACATTCTTTCTAACAAACTATTGATTTTTTAGTAAATGCTATAGAGAATACATAATTAAATACATGCTTTGTATATTTTTTTGAATATGAAGCTGAAACTTGGGCAAAGTGTTTCAAGAAATTTTACTAGTGAAAAACTAGTAATGAAATAGAGCACGAAATTAATGACAAAACTTTTCAAGCAAGATTATTGCAAGAGACATCAAGAAAACAAAAATCATTATAAAAAATAGTATATGACTATGCATCAGTCACATTCGATAAAATACAATTTTATGTGATAAATGCACTTGATTCTAAACAGTGAATATGTGCTAAGATTTATTAGAGACTTGGTAAGGATTGGTAAGAGACTATTTAAGATTTATTAGAGATTGGAGAAATCCTTCTGAATATCAAATAAATCCACATTGTTTGTTGTCTTTCATACTACTAAAAACATTATAATACTATATTTAAAATTTTAAAAGTTTACTGACAATTACAATAACTACATGAAGACAAATGAAGTTTTTTTGGTTGTTTACTTTATGAGCTGAGTTATTTTTTGTTGATCAAAATAAGTAGAGCCAGATTGGTTCAGATTTATCATAAAAAAAACTCTTTAAAATTAGTCTATGCAAATCTAACATTGACAATTTTTTACATCAACCTTATATAATTCTCCTGCTTTGAATTTTGATATACACCATATAGAAAGTAAAAATAATAAAAAAGTTTCAGAAAAATAATATTCTAATTAAACATTTTTGATTGAGAGATACAAATAATCAAATTTGAATGCTTACTTCAATTTCAGACGTTTTCTTTCTCTTTTGTGAAGGTAGAGGTTTGTAGAGCTGCAATCGTAATCTTTGCCCAATGTTTATGACCTCATTGGAACCAAGCAACTAAAATCAACAAATAAATAAAAAATCAGAAATATAAAGTATGATGTGAAACAGTTTAGATATAATGTAAAACTTAAAAAGACAGCAGACACAACAAAATTTTAAACACCTTTTAGTCAGAAAAAAAATTATCATAAAAATACTTTAAGATCTTAAAAAAAATTTCAAATACAGGTATTTTTTTTTTGATACAATTCAAGAATATTAGGTTGTAATGAAAAGGAGTTGCTGAATAACATAAGATATAACATCCAAAGAGAAGTATCTCTTTTAAATGCTTAAATTTTTCTATAATTTGTTATTTTTTAATATTGTTCACAGTAGGGGAAAATTGGAAAATGCACTGTCAATATAAGCATGAAATCTAAAATTTGAAAATGTATCAAAAAATAATAAGTAAATATTGAATTAGTTAGACTTGGATGCTTGATAAGAAACCAAAAAATAAGCAAATAAATAAAATACTGAGCTTCAGAACTTATCACTATAATTACCAAAAAGTAAAAACATTATAGGAAGATGGGACACTGGCAATTTAGGAAATTTCCTATTTATATGAAATTATATATATATATAAAAAAAACTCAATTTACCATGCAGTTTTGACATTCTTGTTTCAACTAAGACATATCTTAATGCAATATTCCTCAACAATAGATACCACAAAAAAAAAATACTAATCTTTATAATGTCCAAACCAGGCTCATTGTCTCAAAGCTTGGAGCATTAGCTACAAAACTTTAATACAGAGAAAAAAAATTATATTGATCAATAAATCTGTATTTATTAAATATAGACTGCTTCAAAAGTAATGTGACTTTCATTGTTATTCAAAAATACAATAACTGGAAATCCAGATAAAGGTTTTGCATGCTTTACAAAATGCTCTAAAAATTTTAAAAACAACTCCGGATTTGACCAGTCGCTTAGATAAACAAATCCAATAATTGCAGGTAGGACTTGATAAGATTAACACTAAAATTTAAAGTGTCCCATCTTCTATTACAATTAGTTTAAAAAATTTTCATATGTTAAAACTGTTAAATATGAAAAAGTTTACTTGGCTTGTTAGTCCTGTGTTAAAGAGGGTGACAAAGAATAGGTAGATACAAATAAAGAAGTATTTTGAATAAATATTAAAATTTTCAGCTGTCTAAATTAATCCAATGACTTAAGATATAAAAAGTAGTTAGAAATTAAAATTTTTTATATCTTAAACAACTTAAAAATACACTTGTCAAGGGAATTTTGGTTATTTTAATATATATTAAATTAAAATAAAGTATTAAAATTTTAAATCTCACATAAGTAGATGCAAAATTAAGAGAACATAAATCATAAATACCTTTAGAAATGCCCAGGCTATTTTACGCATTCCATTATCATGTAATCTCTCATAATTATCTTTGGTAACTGATTTAGGTACACAATCCATGACCTGTAAAAAAAAACATATTTAGCTCGAGCATATCAGAATCAATTAAAGAAATGATCCAAACAAAAGTAAGCATGATGATAAGGTCAAGCTTAAAGTGCTAATGCTAAGCTTATGCTATGCTTATGCTAAGACATCTGACTCATTTAGATTTCATCTTAGCAAAGTCAAAATTCAATCTCTGTACAAATTTTAGCTTATCACGATGAAGTATTTGTACAGATTTTTAAGCATAATTCAAAAATAAAAGCCATTATACTCCCCTTTATTTAATTCAATATTCCATAAAACTTAGTTATGAGTATGCTTGAATTAAAAATTTTGAAAAAAATTAATAAGCTTTAATTAAAACCAAAAGTATGCAGTTTTAAACACTGCAAAAAGTTAGAAGATACACTACAAATCATCACTCAAACTTCAGATAATTTTCAGTTAATATGATTGATAGAAATCATCTCTAAGGAATCAAGATTTAAAACTCCCATGGTCATATTATACAATATGGCATAAACAATGTAAATACCTAAATGTTTAAATTGTGAAATATACACCTGAAGAATAATAGTTGAAATTCATAGTTATCAAAACTTCACAACATGCCAAGAAGTAGTTTTTTATTGTCAATGCAATGGCAAATCTCAAGAATCACATAGGTATCTGTTTCAGCTATGAATATAGTAATGAATGAGCACAACAGCCATATGCAGTTAAATCATGATATTGCAAAAAAAAATAATGTTGTTTAAATATATAATACAGACTGAAAGAATTAAAAGTTAACTTAATTATAATCTCTTTTATTTCATATTACTCTCCAATTAAGAAATTAGAAACTATATTTGAGAAAGCAGTTTGTTAATCTGACAATTTTTTATTTTCCTATACCAGTTTCTGGTGTATCAAATAATTGTCTATCATATTTTAAAGCTAATCTTTTTTTTAACTTACAAGTCCGGTTAATTTTTGTTCAAAGAAAAACTGATCATAAGTCATACAAGCCATAATGTGGTTTTTTCTGTGAATTAAGTTCATACTTGATTTGGTTTAGGTTCTGTCAAATGCATTGTGAACAATGTAAAAAAAAAAGATGCATGTTTCTAGCAACAATATTGTTGGGTATGAACGTATTTATGAACTAGGTTGTTGAACTAAAATATTTATGAGTATTTTTCCAACAAGGTTAGATAGCCTAGGAAAAAACTAAACCTATCTTAAAAGTAGTCCTGAAAATAAAGCTGTTTAAAGTTAAGTCTATTTGTATTCTTATAGCTACATGTTAAAAAACATTTTTGTAAACTTGAACACTTTCTTGCTCACAATTTTTTTTAACAAATTTTAATAATATCTTATCATTAATTAAATTTGCCTGAAGAATTAAAGCTAACTTTATAAAATGCAAAAATTTAACATATAGAAATTATAAAACTAAAATAAATAAATAAAATTAAAATATCAGTAACAAAGAAATTAACAAAAAAATAAATAAAGTGATTTTTTTATTGGATTTTTCAGATTACTATTTCATATGACAAAAATGTTTGGTAAATTACTTAACACAAAATTAATGTATCAAAAATTCCATATTTTAGCTACTTAAAAGGGTGAATAGTAATCCATTGGTTCATGTCTTTGTGTTCTATTGGTCATTGGGATTATTGTACAAAGGACCACTGAACAAAATTTTTTTCGTGATCCGAGTCATGTTTTACTGGTGTCAGACCAGAGAACCAATTTTAATATTTCAAATACTGCTCACAAACAGATATGAATAAATTAAACCAACATAATTTAAAAATAAATTAATCATGAACAATACATAAAAACTTAGAAGTCTGTTGAGTACCTCAAAAAACAATATTGTGCTGGATTCCTTTTTAATGAGATATTCCAGGCTTTCCTGTAAGAGAAAAGATTCTTCCCATTTCAACAACTGTAATCTATGAAAATAAAAATCATAAAAATTAGCTCAATGAAAGCAATGTTTGTAATGTAAATAACTTTATACAGCAATATATATATAAAAATAATATAAATAAATGTATATAACAATGTTAATAACTATATCAACATTAAAATAATCACTGTTATTAAATCTTAATCAAGAACAGCTTATGTAATATTTTTTTTAATCAGAATTAATAATTGTTTTTCATATGGATTATGTAGTTTATTATGTAGCACAGCTCTGTGCATTGCTGTTGTAACAATAAAATGTTTAAAATATGAAATACAATCTTGTGAAATCGTGACAATGCAATTGAAACACAATTTAACCTCACAGGGCTAAAAATGATTTCAAAAATTATTTTGTATAACATTTTTAAACCATGCAAAAAATTTTTTTGTTTACATTTATGAGATAGAATATTTTAATAAGTTTAGAAAAAAAATTAACAGCTAAAAAGCAAGGTTCTGATATTTCTAAATAAGCGAGTATGTGTGGAAATTATCCAAATTTGTGAAAATGACTAAATTAAGTTTAAGACAAGATCATACTTATCACCATCCACAGCAGCAGGATGAGTCATCAGAGGCATAATGTAGTCAATATTACCTCTCTGAGTTTCATAAAAGGATACTGCTGGTTTGTTTCTAAAAATGTAAATAAAAATATATCGTAATACAAACTTAAAAAACTACTTAAAATTTTTAAACAACCTATCTTGTATTTTACAAAAACTTTAGTTTAAGGTAAAAAAAGTTACAAAAGATACACACAAATATGAAAAACTGTTAATGGATATAAATGTAACTTTTTCTGCATTAAAGGCTTACATTTCATTAAAGCGAATACAGCTTAATGCATTAGCACATCGTAGGGGATAATGTAGATAGCAGTAATTTTTAAACAATAAAATAAGAAATACCAGTCATCTAAAAAAGCTTTTATGAAGAAATTACATAAGTTAGAAGTTATGAATTATTATTTTTTTAAAAAATTTGGTGCCTACATTCAAAATTATACTAGTTCTGTCACATTTAGATAGGTATTCTTTTATATTATTTGGTCTGTCCAGACATTTTGTGAGAGGTCCGTTTTTGCAAAATTGTGAAAAAATTAGTCGTAATTTGTAAATATAAAATAAACGTTAAGTCACATTCGTTCCACCAGGGTCTTGCTTTTGCTAATTTGTGCAAATAGGGTCCTGTTATTGCAAAAAACTTTTTCAAAGAGTTTTTAAAATGTAAAGACATACAAGATTATGCTCAACATTGTAAAATTATAATTAAAAAAAATAAAAATTTAAAAAATAAACAGCAATTGCTGCTACTAAATTAGATATGCAACATACAAATATTTGGTTTTTAGCCTATACGGCTGAATGCAGAATATTAATTTCGGACGAATAAAGGAAGAAGCGTCTGCCGAAGACAAAATTTAGCTCGTTTACATTTGTCTTTCTCCCCCCCCCCTTCCTGGGAAGGTTTTATTCGATTAACAAAACAATAATGAAGATAAACAAATCTGTGAAGGGTCCGATTAAAAGATAAATTTTGTGAAGGGTCCGTTTTTATGAAAAGATATTTTGTGAAAGGTCTGTTAACGGACCCAAATTTCTTCAAACAGACCCCTGGATACAGTCTAAAATGTTGCCTTTACAAGGCCAAAGAGATTGTAACTCTAATGATTCTGCAAGTAGAAAACTGTATTCTGGTGCACAGACTTTTTACTTAGAAAAACAGTTTTCCTTACATTATTATGTAAAGAGAAAACATTCTCTGAAATTTAAAAACACCAAAAGTTAAATCATAAATTTTGTTTATTATAATGTTTGTGATCATCATATATATTAGATTATCATATGTTTATAATATTTGTAATCATGTTTTATTACATAATGCATTTACATAGAAAATGTAATTGACTTGGATAATCTTAATAGAAATTTTAATTTAATTTTAAAGAAAGTTTAATTTTTTGCAAAAAATAATTAGTTTTATCAATGCTTTTAAAATCAAATAACTAAAAGTTATATTTTTCTTGAAAAATGTTAATTTTAAAAATGTTGAACACATTAGTGTTGAGTTGATAAAAACAAACACAGATTTTTTAAAAATGGGAAAGTTATAAGTATGATATAGATTTACTGATTCCTGAGGAGGTCTTTAATTTATTAATTTTTAATTCAATTCTGTTATATTCTATGGTTGCAGGATGTCAAAGTTTTGCTCAAATTGAGTTAGTACAGTTTAATGAGACAGCTTTCTATATATTATTGAAATAAAACAAGCAAAATTTGTTTTTTTTTTATAGTCAGGTAAAACTACTGTACCAGAATTTTAGTCACTCCTTACAGCTATTAGTGCAAGTTCTGACTGCAAATGACTGTCAATTATTATGACTATTTTTTAACTTCTTATCTTTTTATCGTAACACAAAAAATTTAACCTTTTTTTCCTTAAAAAAAAATAAATAAATCAGATGATCCAAGTTATAGAATATTCATAGTTATGCTATTTCAGACAGATATAAGAAAATGTAACCTCTTGGTAGAATGATTTGGAAAGTTTCATGCAAATTCTAGTTTCTTAAAAAGTTTAAAAACAGGGGTCTGTCTAGGTTTTTCTGAGAGGTATCTATTTTGTGAAAATTTAGACATAATTTGTGAAAAACTAAAAATTACATTAAAAGATCAACACAAAATATGGATTTATAGTTTCTTAAGGGATAAAAAAATAAAATTTTAAGTAAAAGTACTTTGTGAAACTACCGTTCTTCCTAAAGTTGAATTTGTGAAGGTACCGCTAAACGGTAGTAAATTCGACCTGGACAGACCCCTGAAAAGTTAATTTGAAGGGAGCTATTGGGGTTAAACAAAATTCCGTTTGTGTTAGATAATCGAGGTTCTACTCTGTATCTTAAATAATGATTCGTTAAATTAGTAAAATGAAGTTATTAAATGGATTATTACTTGTCTTGCTTTTTAAGTAAAGAGCCTTGAGAGGAATCAATAACTCGCATACACACTACTGGCCTTGTCAATAACCTCCCAAGTTTAAGGTTGTCACAAAAATGTATGGTTATCTTTGTGAGACTTTTATCCACGTTATCATTTGTATTCATAATTGATAGCTGATATGCTGAAAAAGAATAACATAGGGTTATTTGGAAAGTTACCAATAAAAAACAATTCAACTAAAATAAAATCATAAAAATAAAACATAATTAAAAACAAAAAGTAGCAGATCCTTCTTGTAATAAGATTTATATTTTTTTTTTAATCAATCAACACAATTTTACTGTTCCAACATTTTTTCTGTTATTTCTTTAAAAATATTTTTCAATGAAATTGACATTGTTTTAGCAAGGGAAGATTTCTGTATCGTCTGCAGTAGAATAATCACCAAGTCTTGTCAACTTCTGGGCAGTGGCCCACGAAACTAAAAAAAAAAAATCACAGAAGGTGACAACCTCAAACTAGTACTAGACACATAGCGGGGATATTTTCGTATCCTGTAGATTTTAAACCTGAAAATTTAAAAAAAACAAAAAACATGTAGATGTTTGTCCAGGGGTGAATACGAACTATACCTTTTGAGTTGGTCCCTTTCTGTGATGCTTTTTTTAACTTCTCGCGGGCCGCTGCCCGTAAGTATCCAAGACTTGGAGATTATTCTGCCACAGATCAGGATACAGAAATCTCCCCCAAGTAACCACTCCTAGAAAAACCTTCACTTAATTTTCTTTTTTAAAAAATTTAAAAAAAGAAAGTATAAAATCCATTTAACGCCTAGGCGATTGCAGTTGGTGCGACAGATTAAGATTCGGAAATATCCTCCTTAGCAGCGCCAAACATTTTAGACAGCTTCAAACAAACTCTATGTTAAAATTGTTGATTTTGTTTTGAAATTATATTTCAGTCGAAAACAATAATATTTAAAATATCACTATAAAAGACAGAAAAAACAAAATACACCGTGATAAAAAAAAGTAATTATAAATTAAAAACAAACCATTCAAAATTCTAGAGAAGTTCCTTTTTAATCAGGTTTGCATACAATCAATCATCGTTTATAATTACATATGCATATCTTGTGAATGGAATTCTATAATAAATCAAGTTTCATACAATCATGACTGACAAAATAAGAAAAAGAGGAAAAATTTCTGGAATACTGTCTTCATAATTCCCCTTCCTTAAAATCAAAACAATATGCTAGGCAGTAAGCAAAATATTTAAAATATGCATATTTTCCATTTAGAACAAACAAGTTATAAGAAAAAAATTATGGGGAATTTTATAAAGATGATATTAATGAATTAAAAATCATTTAGATCCAATCTTCATGCTAGCTGTTAGCTTCATGTTAGTGTTCGTTCATTGTTTGTTTACTACTCCATCTCTCTGTGTTTGTTTTGATTAACGAATTAGACTACGTCCGGCTACTTATTTTTGCTCAGATAAAACTCTTTATGGTCGCAAAAAAAAAATAAATAAATAAAACCAGCAACGCTTAGTAACAGTTTGGCAGACGGCGTTTGCAATTGAATAGTTTTACTAGTTTAATTCTGTTATCTTTTTCACTAAATCGTTGACTCATGTTTATAGATATAGTTACTCCACACATTTTTGGCATGGAAATATAGAGATGTCAAAGCTGACGTCGCATCTCTTATCTGCCCCCAATGGAAATCCATCAGTTATCAATCAGTTACGATAACAACCAATAGGAATACGTTTCCATTGGGATGGGAGTGTGAATCTTCCAATAGGAATACTGAAAACGACAATTGGTTGATTTAGGGTCCCTTAAGTGATATAATTCAGCCTCTGTCAACATCTTTATATTTTATTGACAGCAAGGAGATATTTCCGTATCCGTACCTGTTCGCGCACATTACAATCACAAAATGAATTTAAAACTTAACAAATTATTATTAATAATAATCATCATTGAGGTTTGCCCGGGGGAGTTTACGAGTTTTTACCACGTCCGTTTTTTTTTTTATTTTCTCGTGAGCCACTGCCTGAAGTTAGAAAAACTAAGCAATCATTTTGGCGTGATTGCTGGTTACTGATACAGAAACCTTCTAGACAATATTATCACTGAAAACGAAGGAATATTTTTGAAGAGCCACCTGTAGTATGTCTATAGTAAGAACTCCCCTAGCCATTCGCCTGAACCCGTGGCGGTGACTATGGTAACGAGGTATAACTATTTTAAGAAAGGAGTGGGGGTCACTGTTTAGGACAGAATTCGACTCTGGTCGGTGAGGGAAAGGGAATCTTTTTCTTCGGTTTACTGAGTTAGCTCTAGAGTGAGGAGAAGTTACCCTCCCTGAAATGCGTTATTCTTGTTTCCATAGCAGCAGACGGCCTTAGATTTTGTGGTGGAGGGAGTTCTTACCGTAGACAAATTATAGGTAATGTGTCCAGACTTATAAACCCTGATTTGAGATCAAATCAGCGGAGCGTCCTCGAAAAATTTTATGATTTGAGGAAACCTATATATTTAAGGAAAATATAAATTTATGTGTGCAACAAAGATTTTTCTGAAAACGATAACTAATATCAGGTGCCGAAACATCTTCAGCAAATTTGATTATTGAACATTATTGGGCAGTTTTGAAATATCACATAATATTCTGAATTTGAACTCATATAAAATGAATAAGCACATGATTATTAGGGGTTGTTGAATTTTTTTGTGAAAATTATTTAAAAACAAGTAGTATGACGTTTTCCTCGTTTAGCATGGTGCTTTTTTGAATTTTCTTTGTATTCTCCGTAAGATATAATTATCTTTTTTTCTTTTCCTTTTTAATATTTTATATCATGCGTAGTTCTGATTTTTTTGATATTTCACTGCATAGAAAAAAGATTATATGTTTTCGGACAAACTCGAGGCTATTTCAGGACTCAGGATAAAAGCATTTGAGGACATTTTTTATCCTTAAAGAGTTTGAATATTTTTTGGAATAATCAATTAAATTTGAGGACTGTCTTCAAGATTTCAGAACGTCTGGTCACTTCACACCTGGGTAAATATGGTCACCATAATCTTTGGCAAAGGTAATAGCGTAGATTACTAAGTCAAATACTAACGTCATCGCATCCATTACGTGTTACTAGAGGCGTGGTGTTGTAAATATCATAGACAGTCACGCTAAAACTTCAGACTTATTTACAGAAAACAAAACGCATCAATTTTATTGTGAATAAGTATGTATTTTGAAAGTTTAATTATAAAACTATGCTAAAATGTTTTGTTGTTATTTTGAAATACTAATAACAAATTCTGCTTGTAAAGTTTAATATTTGATTGATTTAGTAGATCAGTTTATTTGATGATTTTAATGTTAAATATAATGTAAGCGTTAACCAATATACGTATGGAAAAAATAGTTTTTTGCGTATTTGTTACACTAAATTGTTACTGAGTTCTACTATTTTCAATCTACAATAGTAGATAACAGTTTTCTACTATTTTCAATCAATCAACTTTTCCTTATTAAACATGAATTTCATTTTAATCAGCTTGTTGAATTACTAGGTAGAATTACTTATAGAAACTAAGAAAAATTACTTTTCATTGTTGGTTAAGTAACGTTCTTCACCAATTTTGCGCAATTAGATCTTCTAAAATTGTTCTGACAAAGAAATGGCACAGAATGTACCACAAAATGTCAATTTCAGACAATACTTTCTTTTGTACATATTTCGAAGCGCCGAACTCGAATATGTTATTTAATTTTAGCACACGAATGATTAATGATTCTGAAATTATCTTCAACCAAAAAAGTTTTATGTTGCACAGAGAAAAGCTGGTCTGAACAGGGTTTAAAAATATTAAATAGGTAAAGAATCGCAAATGTTTCGATGAGCACATTATATTTTCATATTCTTAGAATATAATGCCATTTTAAGAAAACAAATGAGTAATATTTCTTTATTAAAAAGAAAGAAAATTGAATCAAGAACCCCGTTTTGTCCCAGGTATGGAGTAAAACAGGGTTGTAAAGAAAATGAATTTTATAGATAACATATAAAATTTGTGGAAACGCAGAAAAAAGATTTCTGCCCTATAATTACATAGTTTAAAGGGTGGTTTTAGTGGTCAAGCTAGCACCTTCAAGAAGAGAGAAGGTCTTTCCGTGGGTTACCATAAGCGAGAAGTCTGATCTTTTCGTAGTCTGAACGTTGTCACATCTTTTTTATAAAACCCTCACTGCTCAGTTTAGTTGTCCGAAGGTTGTGACACATTTCTTAGTCTCTCACCTAACACTCTGTTTATGTTCGTTTCTTCGCACTACTAAAGTAATCCGGGCGAAAGGTTTTTCTCTTCTAGGAGATATTGGTCTAACCCTTTTCAGTGGTAAAATATTACTACTGTGCAAAAAGTGGAAAAATATTTATCTTAAATAGTATTTTAAAGTATATAAATATCTAAATAGTTAAAATAATAGTTACACAGTAAAGCAAAATTTGGACTCCTTAGTGTTATTTTCTTTTCTTCCCTGTTTCTCCATGTTTCAAATTTTTTTAAAACAAATCAAAAATTTTTTGCACAGAATTATAAAATTCGTTTTTCTAAGGATAATTCCATTTAAAAAATAATTTAAATGCATTTGTATTGATTTATTTAATAGTAGTCGAAATATTTTGAATTACAAGGGTTAAAAGTTTTTACATCATTTTAAAGAATGTAATTTTTAAATGACGAAACAAAAAATTTGATTCAATCGGTTGAATAGTACTCGAGAAATAACATTTTAACTCAGCAACTTTTTAAAAATTTGGATAAATCAGAAACAATTTGACCGATTTTGTTGAAATTTTGCATTTCGTCGGTAAAAAATAAATTTTTTAAAATGTCGTAAAACTTTTTATATCTCACAGCTAATTTTTTTTTTGATTATTAATAAATAAAATGGTAGATAATAATAAAAATTTTTTTTTGCTCAGAACTATTTTTGATCAACGAATCTTATAATTGTTTGCAAAAATGTTTTCGATCAGCTTTAAAAGTTTTCGAGATATAGCGTAAATGAAATTGACATTACTCAACTTTTAACTGACTGTAAAATAATACTAAGTAAAAAAATGGTATTTTAAACCGTGTTTAAACTCAGTTATTATTTTTTTTCTTTTATCAATCATTTGAAGTTAAAAAAAAAAATCACTGCTGCTTAACTATTAGTTTTCCTGCCTAAACTATTACGCCCATATTTTTCAGATTGCTCTAGCCCATCCTATATTTTGAAGGCCAAGAATCTGTAGCCATTGAAAAAGAAGTATGATTATTTCGAAAAAGTTCGTTTTTGAGCTTGAACAGTTCAAAATAGGGAAGTGCCCCTACCGGCGTATGACCACATTTTCGGGCATGGGCTCCTATTTACTGGAAAAAATGGATAATCAAATTTCACGAAACTTTCTCCGTTTTTGACGAAACCGTTTCCTGGTATATGCTCCGAAGGAATATTTTGTCCAAGGAACAAAATAAGTATCGTCTCTTCCTCGAGGAAACGAATTTCGTCAAAAGTAAAGAAATATTTCATTTTTCGTCATTCTAGTTTGGTCAAATTAAGAATTACTTTCGTAGATTTGAGGTGGTGAGACAGCGATGCGGTTCCGAGTTGAAGAAACGTTTTCGTTATATGTTTGAGAGTTCGCGTTTAGTTACAAATCGCATGGTTTTGTGACAAAATGATTCTTATAATTAACAAAATACAGCTCACGAATTGTTGTATCGTCAAAAGTGAGATTTTTTTCCGAAAGTGTGTAATTTTAATCCTGATTATGTGCCCTAACTTTCCGATAAGTTTGTTGCAACATTTATGCTATCATAAGTTTTATATAATGTTTTTAAACTTGTGGATTTCGGCGAAAAAAAAATACTAAAATTGTTATTTAAGAAGAAAGTTGTAGCTTGGAGGAGGAAAACGAATGCAGATTTGAAATCAGCAACGTAAAAATATCCAAGATCAGTAAAAACCTCATTCAACAGAACATTTTCTTTCCCTCAGTGCGATCATTATTCACTAGTTACTTCGTTTAAATTATATCATTATTTGTTTAAGGCTGTCACTCGAAAGCTTTGTCGTCACGTGAACTAATGAATATAGCGAATAATAGGCTAATTTTATTACTGTTGTGAGTTTGTAATAATTAGTCACGACTGTTGGGTTAAGTTCTGTTTCATCGTAGTCATCGCTCTCAAGCTAATAATGAAAATGGCTCAAAATGTTAGGAATTTATTCACAACTGTTAAGTTTTGTTCCATCATAGTAATCGCTCTCAAGCTAATAATGAAAATGGCTCAAAATGATAGGAAGGTGAAAAGGCTTAGTTTTGTGAAAATTATGAAATGAAGTTGCGCTTGTGATCTAATATTTTAATATGCAAAAAATATTCAAATTATGCATTGTTTGATGATTTTTGTAAAAG